GGTGGCGTCGCAGCCCGGCATCAGGTCCCCGAACTGGTGCACGTGGATGGCGCGGCAGGAGATGTTGGGCTCCGAGGGGAAGCCCTTCAGATCGAAGTAGGCATCGAGCCGGCCCCCGGGTGCCAGCTGCCGGAACAGCACCAGGCCGGTCACCTGGGGGTCCGTGGTGTCCAGACTGGCTGACGGCTGCACATGGCAGGCCGCGTAGAGCATGGTGGCCTCCCGCCGCCGCCGGGCCATCTCCTCCCCGGTCTCCGTCACTATGGCGCGCAGGTCTCGGTTCGGCTCCTCTGGGCCCCCGAGGCTGGCATCGAAGCCCACCGAGGCACCCGAGGCCCAGGCCACCAGGAACCAGCAGGCACACAGCAGCGCCAGCATGGCTGGACTCCGGCACCTGCGGGCACCCGGGGAGTGGGGGTGAAGTGAGGCTTAGTCAATAGAGACAGGGGATCTCAGGGACCACAAGTCCTTGGGTCCAACCCATCCCCACCAAGACACGTCCTCGTCCAGTCATTCTTTCAGCCCTTATTTCTCCAGGTCCAGAAACTGTGTTCCAGAAACTGTAGCAGCGCCAGCATGGCTGGACTCCGGCACCTGCGGGCACCCGGGGAGTGGGGGTGAAGTGAGGCTTAGTCAATAGAGACAGGGGATCTCAGGGACCACAAGTCCTTGGGTCCAACCCATCCCCACCAAGACACGTCCTCGTCCAGTCATTCTTTCAGCCCTTATTTCTCCAGGTCCAGAAACTGTGTTCCAGAAACTGTGCATATAAACACGAATGGCACAAAAATCTCAAGAAACTAACTCGTAGGGATCTTTCTGAGCCACGAATCTGATCATGGTTCTCCCAAGCCCTAGCTTCCTGGGTGGGGAGTCTCAGGGCAGGCGGGAGAGGACCTCTGGGCGCATGAGAGGGAAGCTCCTGGCCCTTCCAGACACCTCCCCGTCTGCATCTCCCCGCCCTGCCACTCTAAGCATCCCCCTTGCAGGCCTTCCTAAGAATTGCTGCCCTGCCTTCTGGGCCTTTGCCATGTGGTTCCCTCTCTCTGAAGTGCCCTGTCCCCCTTCTCAACCAGGTTGGTAGATGTGAAGACAGAAACTCTGTTTTACTCATCAGTGCCCAGAGCGCCTGGGCCTGTACTGGCAGTGGGAAACCTTTAATCGGTGATTGTTGAATGAGGAGTTCACTGAGGGACAGACATGTCACCCAATCATTCCAGCTTCATCCTGTGATTAAAGATGGAGCCGGGTGCTAGGGATGGATGGAGGAAGCAGTGACCATGTCCCTGAGGAACTCCGGGAAGGCTTCCCAGAGGAGGTGGTTTTTGAGCTGGGTTCTACAAGACAAGTAGGAGTTTTTCAGCCAAGCCAGGTTGAAAGCTCATTTCAGGCAGAAGGCACAAGCATGGCATGTACACACACTGTGAAAGGACACCGTTTGGGCGGGGAGGGGCCAGGAGGGGGAATCAGTGTGGCTGGAACATGACCGTTGCCACCAGGGAGAAGTCGAAGCTCAAGAGTGAACTTTGAGCCAGGGATTGAGGGGATGGATTTGCTGTGCTGATGGTGGATATTAGCTGGGAGGCTTGGGTAGATGGAAGTTTTTTAGCAGAAAAGTGGGTGATGAGATAGCCTTTAGCTCCTTAAGTCTGGCAGGAGGAAGGATGTGGGGTGGTCTTCAGGGGAGAAGAAATGGGAATAGCCTCAGGAGAGATGGAGACACAGAGAAGGAGAAACCGATAGTCAGAGGGCGATGCGTTAGGAAGCTGATGCAGCAGCAATGAAGGCTTTTTCCAAGGTGGAGGCAGCAGAGGTAGAGGGGGCATGGGTTGGGGAGACACCATGGGGAACCCTGTGGGGAAGAAGGGGGAGAAGTTGAGGATGACTGAGTTCCCAGGGGAGACTGGGTGCCTGGAGAGTGGTCAAAGGCCATGAGGAGAGAGGGGAAGATGCTGGTGAGTGCCCAGGTGGGATGCTCAACAGAGGCCTGGAAATGCAACTGTGGCTCGCAGAAGCAGCAGCGCCGCGGGGAAGGGTTCTCAGGATTGGCTGCACTTGAGATTCTGGCTCTTAAACACCAGAGGCCTGCGCTCCACCCTAAGAAAATCTGATCCCATGGGCCGGGATTGTCTTTTTAAAAATAATAAAAAAAACTCCATCAAAGATTCTGGGACCCAGCCAGGGACTTTTAGAGTCAGACACAGATTCAAATCCCAATCCAAACCACCGTGACATCATCAGGAAGGTCTGACTCTGTCTTAGCTACTTGAAAATAAGCCCAGTAATACCAGCGAGGGTCCCGGTAAGTATTAAACAAGATACTATATTCCAGGCTCCTTTCACATGTTTAAGTCTGCCCTCAGGGGTCACTGCTACCTCCCAAAAACTGGTTTGAGGGTCAGCTGCACTTCCAAAGGCCTTCTCCAACCCCAAAGCAAGCGTCGTTGTAAAAGCCAACGCCAGGGTTGAGTATTGATTCTTCCCACAATCATTACAGAAAGGTGGTCTGATAGGGTGATGAAGAGAATGGATTCTGAGCCCTGGCCAGGTGGTTCTGTTGGTTGCAGCATCGACCCAGGCACCAAGGGTTTTGATTCCCAGTCAAGGCACATGCCTAGCTTTCGGATTTGATCCCCGGTCAGGGCGAGTACGGGAAGGAACCGATCAATGTTTCTCTCTCACATCGCTGTTTCTCCCCCCTCCCCCGCCCCCCTTCCTCTCTCTCTCTCTCAAATCAATTTTAAAAAACAACCCAAAAAGTGTCGTTGGGTGAGGAGTGAAAAAAAATAATAATAGATTCTGAAGCTCCCTGCCTAGGCCTGAAACTGACTCTGCCCTGCGCTCGCTAAGGGTTCGCTGTTACTGTTATTTTTGTTGCAGAGCAGCGGAGTGGCTGGACTGCAAGCTCTAACCGGGCCCCACCTCCTCTCTGAGCCTCAGTTTTCTTAATCCGCAATTAGGGATAATTACACTTCCCTTTGGGCTTTGCTGTGACGCTCAGAAGAGACCATTAGAATTGCTAACATACATTGAACACACGTGCCAGGCACTGTTGAAAGCAGTTGGCACGTGTCAATTTATGTGAGCCTCTGTGGGGTGGGTGGTATTGCGGTCCCCATTTTGAAGCATGGGGAAACTGAGGCACAGAGAGGCGAGTGTGTTGTCCAAGGTTACACATTCAGTAACGGTGGAGGACACGATTGGAAAGCGTGTGGTCTGCTCTGAGCCCCTGGATTAGACCCCCCACTGCACAGCTCTCATCAAAGGCACTGAGCTCAGAGTGGGGACCTAGAAAGTTCTCCGTGAATGGACAACTTTCTAGGTCCCCAGCTCTTTTCTCAGGGGTCAGAGACAAACCGTGGATAGAGATTTCAGGCCCAACAGATGAGAGCTGATACCGAAGCCGGGGGCAGAGGATCCCAGGAAAGGCTCCAAGAAGGACTGGCAGGTGAGGAGGAAAGCCCAGAAAGTGACATCAAGAGAACCACCTCTGACGTGGCCTGGCGTGACATAGCCCGGGAAGTGACTGCGGCCATGGGACCCTCCCTGCCAGGCCTCAGCCTCAACTCTCCATCACCTGGGACTGACCCCTCCCTCTGAGACAGTCCTACCCCCTAGGAGGGCTCTGCCAACCGGCAAGTTCTTCCCTAAAAGCATAGAGCAAAAACAGACTGTTCTCTCCCGAGAACACTTGGCTAATAATTAACAGGTTATGGAGATGTTTTCCTCTTAACAAAAAGAAAATTTGTCCTGAACTCCAGACAAGCCCTGACTGCTGGTTTCGTAGGCCTTCCTCTTCTGTCCCTGAGGCCAGCTCCCACGAGGCTCAGCCTTCCGACACAGTCTCCCCCTTCATTTGAACTGTGGGTGGCCAACTGGTTTTTCAGGACCTGGTCTGGGGGGACAAGATAATGCCGTGCCTCACTCCTAGAAGAAGCCTGGCTGGGAGCCTGAGCCGCCTCCCCCAAGCAGGTGGCTTTTTCTCAGTCGCTCCCGCCACCCGAGCCATGCAACACCCAGAGAGGGCAGCCTTGCTCCCTCCAGACTGATCTTTTCTAGCACTGACGTCCTCTCGGTCCGGCCCTGGCAGGTCCAAAGGAGAACAGCTCTTTCTCCCGCTTGCCTTCCTCACCCCTCTCCCCAGCTCCCCGCTCATCCCCTCGGAGCAGCCAGCCTGTCACTGTTTCTGTCGAAGATGATCAAATACTTTCCCAAGAGGAGGCCTGATGCCCCACCCCGGTTTAAACTCCTAATAGGCGCACTCCGAGAAGAATGAAATGAACCTCAACTTGGCACCTACCTTTCCAGCCCTTCCAAGAGCGTTTCCCTGCCAGAGGAGTGGAAAGCAGCACCCCGCAGACGGTCTGGTCCCTGGAATGCGGGCTGACTTCCGAGGCTGGGCTGTTTGTGGGTGTGCCGGAAAGCCAGCCCGTGGGAGTGGTCACCCTGAGGAAAGAAGGTCATTGGGTGGTTGGGGAGGGAAAGCAGGCCAAGCTGGCCCTAGTGGAATTGCCTCACCTCCTTCTCCTCTGTTCCTTCCTCCCCTAACTCCTCCCCAGCCCTGGGTTTCCCCGGCCAAGTATTCCTTGTCAATGACCTCGGTGGTTTGTACAGACGTAGCCAGTGACCTTCAGCACGCAGCAGCAGGGGAATGAAAATGAGACCGAGAATAGCCTGTTTGGAAAGGTGTACAATGGTTTCTTTAATGAGAGGCCCTTTGCTCTCTCCCCATTACCTTAGCTATTGACTTATTTTTGCTGGACGCTCCATGATGGAAATGGGCACTTGACAGATATGCATGATGTTTCTCAGAGCCGCGCCGCCCCACCTGAGAGCTGAGAGGCAAGTGTGGCCGCACAGGTGGCAGAGTCCTAGCTGTGTCCCGTCCTAGCGATGGGCTCCTGGACCAGCGAGCTCCCTGTGCCTCCCTTCTTCATCTGCATCTGTGAAATGGGGACATCATGCTAACCAGTACTATCGCCATCAGCGTTGCTGTCGCTTTAGTAGAGACGTTATGGAGTATGGCGTCTGCGTGAACCTTGAGCCCATCCCCTCCCCAGCAGCCTTTCTTCCTTTGCTGCTGTGATCTTTCCTCAATCACAGGGCTTTTCCAGAAATAGAAGCTTTTCTTCCCCAGAAAAGCTCACATGGGAAAAGGCAGCTGGCCTGACAGCCTGTGTGTCCTCCAGCCTTCCTTCCACAAGCGCTTAGTGGGTGCTCACTGCACCCCAGGTACTGCGCAGTGTGCCGGGTGTCCAAAGCAGCAGGGGTCCCTGCCCTCGGGGGATGCACAC